ATCCTGACCATGGGCCATGGCCGTAAGGAATCCCTTACCATCCTCCGCTCACCAAGACCCTTCAAACCATCATGGCAGCGCCGCCTGCTGCATCGTGCGCCACCACCTGGCGGCGGGGGCGTAGCGGGTTCGCGCCCCCTTTCCCCGAGGGCCTCGACAGAGGGACCCCAACTCTCCAGGCGCTGCGAAAAACACAACGGCCGATTTGTCCAAGAGTTTGGCATCCAAGGGCCATCCTCGGGCTCCAGGGACAATCGAACAACGGCCTACGACGAACAGAACAGTCTAGGGGATGGAGTTAAAAAGTTAAGGGCCCGGGACGGGAACAAATCACGACGTTCTGGGCCATTCTGTAAGGTCAGAGAACTCCCCCCCTCCTCTTAGTACTCATGATGGCTGGCGCGTGCACTTTTGCTGCGGTCCTTCTTCACTTTCTTCCTCCTCCTCCTCCTCCTCCTCCTTATTTTCCTCCTCCTCCTCCTCCTGCTCCTCCTCCTCCTCCTCCCTCGCCATTCTGAGACCAACGCTGGCTATCTGAATTGTCTTCGTTCTTTCGGACATGGCACGCAACATATCGTCAGAACGCTCGCGATCGGTCTGGCACTGCCCTCGACGCAAACAAGGAGTGCAGCAACTGCGGCAAAGGCTCGCTGGCACGTGGCAACGCGTCGCGTCGCGCAAAATCTCAGACCGCAAGTTGAACGGCCGTTGCAGTCACTGATCGACCCGCGTGCTTGCGCGCTGGCATGCCTGTATCGTGCAGTCGGCCTCGATTGGGCAGGACACGCGAAAAGACGCCGGCTGCAAGCACCTCCAGAAACCGGAGTGCTAGATCCTCGAAGGCAAGATCCAAGGAGACCCGACGTCTTGTTTTCCATAGGTGAAGCAAACAATTACGAGGTCCCCGAAACTCCCGACTTCTTTCCATTGTCTTTCTGTCGCGAGTCGCTTTCGGACGGTCTGAGGGCCCGGAAACGGCCCGCATACGCCGAGGACCACGAAACACTTCCGTCTTGATATGTTCAAGGCGTTTGGATGGCTCGAAAGCAGGACCCGTGTGTCCATGCGGCGGCGAGCGCAAGGGGGGTGACGCGAGAGGGCCGCCCTTGTAGAGGCAGGGGGCTTCTAAGAAGGCTTGGGTCGGCTCTGAAGCTCTCCCAGAGTCTAAAAGGCTCTCTTCGAAGACCACGATCATTTTTAAGAAGCCCCTGCTACCTACAAGACTCGTCAAACAGAAGGTGAACGTTTTCTTACCCAGCGTTTCGACATTGGGCAGAAGGGAGGGGGGTCTGGCTCCAGCCTCTGCTCAGTGCGACTGTTTGCAACAGTGCGTCCTATGGGGAGCCTCCACCTGCTTGAAACAGGCACCAACAAAAAGCAAAGATCTACTCCAGGGGGGGGAGGGGGGGTGCGAGGGCCCGCGTCGATCGTCAAAACAGTGACTAAGAAAACGACGACAAGTGGCGATTCTTATTTTCGGTCTTTGTGTAGTCGGCGCTATTTCAACGCTGGCATGGAAATTTCATTCAGCCCAAGCGCAGGGGTGTCCGACCGAAATCCGGCAACACCTTCACAGCATTGAAGAACACGCTTTCTGACAAATGTCTGAACTATCGATCGCCACGATTTGGAACGCCGTGTAAGTTTATCCTCGACGAAATTCGCAAGACCCTCCCGAGTTCTGGGAGGGGTGGGGTTACCAGGCTCCCATCGGTGATAAATTGGCGACTTGCGGTCGTGCTTTCCCCTCTGACCTTTCCGCCGTAAGGTCGCCCCTGTTTCAAGGAGTCCTCGAAGCTGGGCAGCCAGAAGTGTGGCCCTATCTGGAACGCTTGAAACCTCGACTGGGATCTAAAATTCAAGAAGGCTGGTGCCACCAGAAAGGTGAAACACAGATGACTTGATTCGCATGCGGAACATTGTGAAGCCACTTGGTGGGTACATGTGTGAAGCCAGTGTGCCTGCATATGCGATGGCCGAGCGCTGGACAAGCATCTGATCGCACGCGTACCCAGCTGTCGCCCAGTCAAGCCGCGCTGTGTATTCAACTTCCCATTGTTTCGTGTTCCCCTTGGAAACTTAAACATCTAACGCCTTGGTTTTCCCAGCCACCGTGTGTTGAGTTGGGTCCTCGCTTTGAAAAGACAGCCCACCGCGTTCACTCTTCACTCTTCACTCCTCCGCCCCGTCCTTCTCGTCCCCCTCCTTACGCGTACTAGCCGCATCGGTCTCCCAGTCCGGTACACCCCGCGCAAGGCTCGTGGCCCTATAGGAAAGCTCCTCCGAAGGCCCCACAAGCAAAATTCCCATGCGGCTCCCCGCCCACCGCATGCCCGTGCCGGCACACCCCGCACACGTTTCGTGGCCCCATAGGGAGGCACCACCGAAGGCCACGGTGGCAACATTCACATTCGGCTGCCCGCCCACCGCACCTCCATTTCGGCACACCTCTTCCGCGCTTCGTGGCCCCACAGGGAACTCCACCGGCGGCCCCAATGGCAGGGTCCGCATGCAGCTCCCCGCCCACCGCATGCTTATTTCGGCACAGCTCTCAAGCGTTTCGTGGCCCCACAGGGGAGCTCCACCGAAGGCTCCAGTGGCAGGGTTCACGCGCGGCTCCCCGCTCACAGCACCAGGTATGCGTACCCGTCACACGCTTCACCACCGCAGGGAGCTCCACCGACGGACCTAGCGGCAGGGTTCACATGCGCTTCCTCGCCCGCCGCATGCCCATGCAGGCGCACCCCTCACGCGCTTCGTGGCCTCATGGGGGGAGGCTCCACAACAAAAAGTTCCCACTGGTGGGGTCCACGTGCGGCCCTCCGCCCGCTGCAGATCCATTTTGGCACACCCCTCACACGTCTCGCGGCCCCAGTGAGCTCCACCGAGGGCCACCATGGCAAGGCTCGCGTGCGGCCCTCCGCCCGCCGCGTCTCCACTGTGGCACACCCCTCGCACGCTTCGCGGCCCCCTTGGGAGAGCTCCACCGATGGCGCGCCGTCTACGCCGCGTTTCGCGCCACAGATGAAGGGGCCCCAGGACACACAAATAAATACACACAAATAACATGTTCCCCCATATTTTCCATTTTTTTTTTTTTATTTGAATTTTTGTCTTCCCCCCCACTTCCCATATTTTCCTATATTTTCCTGGGAGTGGACGATTAATTGTGTCTGTGTGTTTTTCCCCTCCTGAACAGAAGGCTCGCGGGGACTCCCTTGGGTTCTGCCTCCAGGGGCTGCCCGACGTTCGCGCGCTCTGCCCAACGCGTTGCCCCTTGTCAGCCACCAATGTTCTTTGCTCTGTGCCGCGGGCAGCCCGCGCGCGTCGCGGGGACTCCTTCGGGCCGACCAGCGCGCGTCACGGGGATTCCGCAATTCGCGGTGCCCAGAACCGCGGTCACCGGGGCGTAGAGACAAAGAGGGGAGAAACACGAGAGAAGGAACTGGATACAAAACGGCGGGGCCCGGGGCTCGGGCCATCGGGGGCAGAAACGCAACGCCGCAAACTGGAAACAAGGAGAGGAGTGAAAGAGTTCGGAAGGAAGTGGGCACCCAGTGGTGGCGCACGGATCTCGCGCCAAGCAATGCATTCCCCCGCGAGTGCAATGGCTTTTCTCTCACTGTCGACGCCGCAGTCCTTCCCCTCACCTGCCCCGCGATACTCGAAGCTGCTAATGGTTGGGACCTTCGCCAGGATAATCTTTTAATGCGGGGTCCCCTGAAATCCTTGCCTTGTCCCCAAGGCTGGCGTTTCGTGCTGAGCCGCTGTTTGACGGTCCTGTGTCCTGGCGAAGCCCCCAAGAGACCGAAAACGATCAAGCATCTCCTCCTGGGCGTTTTTCAAAACATGGGATGTCTGCGAGGTCAGGGATTGCGCGCGCTGATAACCTCTAAGCTCCAACATTGCGATACAGTATTGGCCGACTCAAACAAAATCAGGACCGGATCTCTAGCCCCAAACCCCATCTGTCTTTTGCAATTTTCGAGCCAGGTCGAGCGGTGATGGTCCCGGGGTCCGAAACTTGGCGAACACGCCCGGCGTGTGGCAACTCCCTGGGAGCCTCCCATGCAATCTTGCTGGCTCCTGCGAATCGACCCCTATCGTCGCTGCTCCCCACGCTGACTCGCCGCTGAACGGACGCCGATCGACGCGACATCGGCGCCCTCCCATCGACAACCGACTGCCCGACGCCAACGCACGCCAGCGCACGCCGGAAGACGAAATCCCGAGGACCTGCACAAGGGCTCCTAGGAGTTGCCTCCGAACCCTGGCTCCGCGGCTGCCCCCGAGAAGCTGGGTAAAAAAAAAACGGAGGTTCTGAGGACGAGGTGCCTCAAACACTGTCAGGGCCTGTTCTGTTTATTTCAAGGGGCCCAAAGACACACGAATAAATACACACAAGCGAAAGGATGCCGCATATTTTCCCATATTTTCTGGGTTTTTGTCTTCCCGCCCACTTCCCATATTTTCCTATATTTTCTTGGGGGTCGACGATTAATTGTGTCTGTGCTTTTTCCCCTCCTGACTATTTTTCGCGATAACGGGCGTGATCTGGGGACGGGGGAATGGCAAATTCGCTGGGGGGGGTGGTCGGAAATAGTAGGAAGTCCTGAGAAGAATTCGTGGGGCATCTTTGCAAACGTGGGCAAAAGCCAGGACGCTTCGCCACTGCTCGAATCTTTGTCGGGCGTTGGCAGAACTGGGCTTAAGTGGGACCTGGTTTGGTGATGTGCACTAAGGGGCGCCCCCCCCCCCCGCCCCGTTCCACTAAGCGGAACTGCCGTCGCCCGAAAGAACACCAGCTGTGGCGGACCTGATTCAGTGATTCTGGCCAGTTCAGGGGCTCCGGGGCCCTAAGCGTGATGACTCTCAAGAAACAATGCAATATAATACCCCGTAATATGATTGAATTAGCCGGGTCTCCTTAGGGTCCTGGCTATACCCCACTATAACTATAGGCAAGCCAGGACGCTTTGCCCCTGCACGAATCCTCGAACCGCCGACCATCGACGCGCCGCCGCCTTCGGGCCCGCCGCCGCGGCGCTGGCAGCGCGCCCGCCCGTGGTGGGCACGCCCAGCGCGGCGCCGGCCCCCGGGGCCGCTGGCCCCGCAAGCCTGCGCCGCGGGTCGCCGCCGCCGCCGATCGCCGCCGGCTGGCCGCCGAACGCCGCCCCGCTGGCCGCCGAACGCCGTCGGCTGGCCGCCGCACTCCGGCCGCCGTCGTCAGCAGCGGCGGCTCCGGCGCCGCCGCTGGCTGCCGTCGTCGGCGGACCTGCGTCCGCCGCCGCCGCCGCCGCCGTCGGCGGCTCGGTGCCGAAACACCTGTGGCCTCGGACAGATCGGGGCGGCCGGTTCATCGCCGTTTTGCGCGCCCAGAGGCCAAGAGCAGGGCGACGGGATAGCAAACACCTGCCACAAGTTGTAGTTTATTGTTTTGGGTTGTGTGTTATGTGTTGTGTGTTTCGTCGTGAAAAGGAACCAAATACATATAAGACCGCTCACAACGATGTTTTGCACGAGACATATTCGCAAGACCTGGACGAGCGATGTGACATCTGAGTGTGGGACAGTACTTGTGGTGATTAACCCAAAGGCGTGGGAACGATACATGTGTTTCTCTGCCGCTGTGAACGCTTCTTGAGGGGAGGATCAACTAGTCTCAATTACGTCACGCCTCTCCTCCTCCTCCTCCTCCTCCTCCGCTT